TTTTTATACTGATTCTATGTCCGTCGGTTTTCCTTCTCCTTACCTCGGATAAGGCGTGTCTTAGGTTTTGAGACATGCGGATTGGTTAATGTCATTAGTCGGAAGTAGCGAGGGTGGTGGTTGATATTTTAACTGATAGGTTAGAAAAAATGCGGAAGGAGAAACAAAATAGCCACCCCCAAGCAAACCGTCACTCTCAGGTAGAACACGTGCTCCCTGGGTGACCGTCGCGAAAATCCGCTTGCCTCGAAACCCGGAACGGTACAGGTAATAAACTTATGAAGCACTCTGAGGTGAACAATACATGAAAGAAACAAAGTAAAATTCTAAACCTCGGTCATCGGTGAAAAAACAGGGACTTATAAGGAATGCGATGGAGAATCAATGGCTTCATAAAGTTATTGTCTCTACCGACGGGTCAGGATTTGGAGAAATATTTGAACGATGTAAAATTTAGAAATCCTGACCCGGTTTATGGAGGTCTCTTTCCCCTTGGGGTAGTGTAGGTATGTGCCGCGTAACATCCTCCCCCCGTTGAGAGTATTACGATCAATAAGAGCATTGAAGGAAGGATGTGTAAGAAAGTGTTATGACGAATGTGTGAGTATGTACAGTGTTATATTATTATGTAATCAGACAAGGGTCTCTTCATGAGGTGTGGCCTTCTCGATCTGGTCTTCTGCAGACTGGGATGGTAGTGGTACCAGTTTCTTGACACTTCGATCAAAGGTAGACGTAGCAGTCTTGACTGTCACGGTACGGATGATACCGTCGGATCCTGGATGAACCTTCATCACTCTGCCTAAGGCCCACTGCATGGAGGGCAGATTCATCTCCCGGAGTAGAACCACGGTGCCTTCCTTGATAGGGTGCGACCCTCTGGCCCATTTGGTGCGGTTGTGGAGTTCGTTGAGATACTCTTTATGCCAACGAGCCCAGAAATGCTGCTTCACCTGTTGGATATGCTGCCAACTCGACAATCTATTAGTATTTATATCTCTGACATCTCGCTCGGGTAGGCTCGTCAGAGATTCACCGATAAGGAAATGCGCAGGAGTGAGGACCAAGAAGTCATTAGGATCGGATGAGAGAGGAGTAAGAGGACGCGAATTCAGCACAGCCTCGATCTCGATAATTAACGTGTTCATGTCTTCGAATGTAAAAAGTGTGGAGCCTGCAACGCGTTTGAAATGGTTCTTAAAGGACTTCACTGCCGCCTCCCAGAGTCCTCCGAAGTGGGGAGTCTGCGGCGGAATGAAATGCCATTGTATGTTTCGCTCGACTAAAAATGCGTGGATTCGATCATGATGCTCCATGTGACTTCAAGAGGTTTTGGACCTCGCGCAGAGCACTGTATGCTCCCACGAAATTTGACCCGTTGTCGGAATATATGTTGGAGCAAAAGCCGCGTCGAGCTATAAAACGGCGAAGGGCAGCGATGAAGGCCTCGCTAGTAAGGTCGCTTACCAATTCGAGGTGGACCGCCTTCACTGCGAAGCAGACGAACACCGCGACGTATACCTTTATTCTCGTACGATTACGATGTCTTCGTTGCTTAATGAAGAACGGTCCGCAGTAATCCACTTCGACATTCGTGAATGGTCTAGCTTGTTTAACCCGGTCTCCAGGTAGATTGCCCATTACGTAGTCTATCGCCGGTGGTTGAGCTCGGCAGCAGCGTACGCATTCTTTTATGACCTTCCATACCTGACTTCGCCCGTCAATGGGCCAGTATTGTCTTCGCATGGAGTATAGGGTAGCTTGCACTCCCGAGTGCAAGAGCATGAGATGATGATGCTTAATTAGTAAAGCTGTTGAGTATGTCTTTGGTAAAATAATTGGATGCTTAGCTGAGAAAGGAATTTTCGAATTTCTCAATCGCCCACCGACTCGAAGAATACCGTCCTTGTCGATGAATGGAGCCAAACGTTGTAATTTCGGTTGCGCTTCTCGATCCTTTTCCAGATTTCTCAGATCATGCGCGAAGTGTTGTCGTTGCAGCATCCTAATGACTGTGTCATGTGCATGTTGTAATTCGGGAACTGTGATGTTTCCTCTAACAATGTTGTTGGGTTTCCAACGAAGACAGCGGGCAAGGACTCTTAGTAACTTCCCCCACGATGAATACCGATCTAAAATATCGGTGTCAATTGTGGCAGTTACCAGACAGATAGTCCCCTTTTGCTCGTCGGCCGTTCCTTCAATTGAAGGTACCTTCCATGTCGGCCAGTCAGCTTCTGGTCTCCTAAGCCACTTCGGTCCGTTGTGCCAGTTCGATGATTTTAAAAAATCTTCTGGCAATTGGCCGCGGGAAATCAGGTCCGCGGGATTGTCCTCTGTCCGGATGTGATGCCAGTCGGATGCTCGAGTTTTCTCTTGAATTTCGGCCACTCTGTTTGCCACGAACGTCTTGAGTGTATGAGGTGATGTGTTTATCCAGTGGAGAACTATGGTTGAATCGGTCCAGAGGCTGCAATGGTCAATTTGAAGGTGGAGCGCGTTTCGTACTGTAGTAAGTAAAGAAGAAAGGAGAAGAGCTCCACACAATTCCAGTCGCGGAATGGTTTGTGATTTTAAAGGGGCGACCTTTGACTTGGCTACTAGAAGTTCCGTTTGAATGTTGCCGCTTGAGTCTATTGTTCTCAGGTATACGCATGCCCCGTATGCCCTTTCGCTGGCATCGCAAAACCCGTGTAATTGGATTGTCGCGGTTGCTCTGATAACTGTTTTGCGGCTAAATGATATATTGTTGAGTAATGGAAGCTTATAATAATATTGTGACCATGCGTGATGAATATCCATAGGCAGCAATTCATCCCAATCGATTTTTAAAGCCCAAATCTTCTGGAGAAGAATCTTCGCGACAATGATCACGGGACCTAGAAGTCCTAATGGATCGTAGATCTTGGCGATTTCCGAGCTGATGACTCTCTTTGTTATTTGTGACATCGAGGTTGTGATAGTGATTGAATAATTAATTGTATCCGCGGCCGAGTCCCAGTACACCCCGAGCGTTTTGACGGTCGTGGATTCACCGAGATGTAGTTTGTTGTTAATCTTGCTGGCTGGTAGTCCACGGAGTAGATGTGAGTCGTTGGATGCCCATTGTCGAACATTCAAACCTGCTAGAGATAGTAATTGTGTGAGCTCTTGCCGTAATGTGAAGGCTTCCTGCTTTGTCGTCGCTCCTGTGAGCGCGTCGTCCACGTAAAAATCGCGCTGTAGAATATTTGCGGCGTGCGGGTATCGATGGCCTTCGTCCAGTGCGAGTTGTTTGAGGCATCTGATTGCTAGATAGGGTGCTGTTAATAAACCGAATGTCACCGTGTTTAATTCGTAGGTTTGTATTTTTCCCGAATGATCACGCCAGAGAATCCTCTGATATCTGCGGTCTGGTAGGCGAACAAGAAACTGTCGGTACATTTTTTCAATATCTCCCGTGATGACGTATTGATGTGTGCGGAATCGAAGCAGGATGTATAGTAAATCGTCTTGTATCTTTGGTCCAGTGTGTAGTGTGTCGTTCAGTGAGATGCCGGAGGTGGTCTCCGCGGATCCGTCGAAAACGACTCGAAGCTTCGTCGTGTTACTGCTTGCCTTGAATACTCCGTGATGTGGGAGATAGTATGAGTGACCGTGTGTGTGAGGATTTGTCCTTGACATGTGTCCCAGTTCCAAATATTCATTGATGACAGTAGTGTACTGTGCCTTCAAGTCTGGTTCCTTCATGAGGCGTCTTTCGAGGGCGAGAAGCCGTTTCTCCGCCCTTGCACGCGACTCTCCTAATTGATTTTTGCTTTCATTGAAAGGTAGAGCGACGACGTACCTGCCGTGTTTATTCCGTGTTGTGGTCTTCTGAAAATGTTCTTCGCATATAGCTTCCGATTTCGAGAGGTATTGTTTCTGCGGACCTTCTTCGATTTCCCAAAACCTTGAGAGGTCGTTTTGCAGCGTTGTAGTTGAAAAGCACGACGGCGAAGATTCCCTTTGGTGGCACGTGCTGACTGTCCCCCCGAAGACCCATCCGAATTTGGTCTTTTGCAAGAACAAATCCCGGCCGTTGGGAGAGGAAAGATTTATTTGTCCCACGCATAGTAGTGATAAGGCCGCTCCTGCGCACAGCAACATGTCGACTGGCGCAGGACGATGAAAGTCTGGATCCGCAAGTTTTATATTCTTTGGGATGGAGAAGCCCGATCGATCAATCTGTTGATTCGGGATCGGCGAAGAGATTTCCTTTATTACGAGGAATGTCAGTGTGCGCTCGTAGCTTGACGTGCGGGAGCGTATAGTGGCGGCAACAGTGTGTTTGGCGATTGTTCTTAGTGTATTAAGCGCTCCAATAGGTATGTGGGTTGATCTCATGGGAAGTCCGAGCCCTTTCGCGAACGTTTCTGTGATGAAGTTTGTCGTCGCGCACGTGTCGATCAAGGTTCGACAAATGATGGGTTTTCGATCCTGATTTAGTGCGTTGATCTGCGCGGTTACTAAGAGATCGCTTGATGCTGTGTCAACGACAAACGCGCATGGTGAGGTTTTTATTGCTAGTCAATCGGATTTTTGACTCTCGCTTCCGGGTGATTGCGGCCTTGATTTATTTGGACGTAACTTCCGTTGCGGTTTTCGTTGGCTATTGTGGTCTGTCCGTGATCTTTCGGGTGGAGATCCTGATCTGCGCGACGATTTCGTTGGCGAGGGCGGCGGTGTTGACGATGAGGACGATGATGTTCGCGTACGTTGTATGGCTCTGGGTGACGATGAATATCGACGTGAATTTTCCTTCCGATGCAGTAGTGTGTGATGTCGACCGTTGCACACGCGGCACGAGCTACTGTTGCATCTTTCTGCTGAATGCCCTGGTCGAAGACAATTTGTGCAGAGACGTATTTTTCGAGTGATCTCTAAACGCTTAGACGCTGTGTTAGCGAGGAAATTCTCGCATGCCCAGATGTCATGCGGTCCTTGACAATTTGGACACGATCGTTGGGTTTGTGTCGTGATGAACGCGTATGACCGCGGCGGTACGGTCTTTGGGGCGGTTGATGATGTCTGTCGCGAGTCTTTATAATCCCTTTTTCCAAAGGGCGGTTTTATGGCTGACGCGCAATTTGCCCGTTTTTCCAAAAAATCTAGTAGGGTGTTATACGCTGGCATCTTTTTATTTGTTAACGTCAGTTCCCATTGCCACGCGGTCTCGTAACTGATTTTCGATAAGATGCTGGAGATTAACACGGTATTCCACGCCTCGATCGGCTCGCCCATATTCTTCAACGCGCGCAGATGTAAGTTATACGTATCGACAAGTTCTCCTAGTGCCTCTGGAGTTTCCCGTGATAATCTTGGAAGATCGCGAATCGCGTCTACGTGGCGTAGTAGAATACGGCGTGTGCAATCAAATTTTTGTTTAAGTAATTCGATCGCAACCTCGTAGTTCGAACCCCTTGTTGTTAAAGATCGAACGCAGGTAGCGGCCCTTCCGGTCAATGCACTGCGCAGGTACTGTAGTTTTTGTACCGATGTCAGGTTTTCGTTTCGATCGATGGTCGATTCGAATATATCGAAGAAGGAGTCCCAATCCTCTATGGTCCCGTCAAAGGTGGGTAAACGCATTTCTGGCAATTTTACGGTGATGGGCGCGGATGTAGATATAGTGGGTGAGAATGCTGCGCGAGTATTCGTGGTCGCGTGGAGATCTTCGTCTAAGAGTTTTCTAGCCCGTGCTGTGACGGCGTAGTAATTGTTATGCAATTCGAATCGGCGATCTGTCTCATTTTCGTCTAGTTCTTCGATAGCGTCTTGAATGTCGTCGAATTTTTTCCACGCCTGTGCTGTTCCATCGAGATGGGCTTGCATCAAGTGCCTATCGCGGTCTACTGTCTTTTCATATTGATCGAGAAACTTTGTAAATGAAGTCAAATGGCCGATTATTTGGCCACGTTTCCGACGCAAAGCGCTAATATCTTTCTCTTGGCTGGCTGAAGCCTTCGCGGAAGGATTTGAAGAAGCGGCTCGACTTTGTATTTTGAAAGGGAGAAACTAGGAAGGATTGGTGATAATTTTACGAGCCTACCTTGAACTGCGAGGCTCTCAGGATTGTCGAGACTGGCAAGCTTCCGTTCCCTGGACCTGGATGCCGAAGTTGCTTGAAGATCGCCTTGGGATGATGGTTGTGGACACTTGATTTCACTCGCGGTTTGCTTCGTTCTTTGTCACGATTGATTTCGCACTACTAAAATCCGGCTCGAAGGACCAATACTATTCACGCGGTTCGCGACGTGTTGAACCAGCGGGATTCCCTTACGAACTTTTATGCAGGTAAGGGATAATTGACTGAGAATGGGTTGGATTTTGTAACACTCAATTATTATTTGCAAACATTAGTGAAATCTAAGCTATCTTAAACTAGGAGTCTTTATTAATGCAAGTGTTCTTGTGTAGTGAGCGGAGTTTGTGTTGTTACTGATTCGAGGTTCGTTGGTTGTCCTTCACCTTACCTCGGATAAGGCGTGTCTTAGGGTTTGAGACATGCGGATTGGTGAATGTCATTAGTCGGAAGTAGCGAGGGTGGTGGTTGATATTTTGACTGATAGGTTAGAAAAAATGCGGAAGGAGAAACAAAATAGCCACCCCCAAGCAAACCGTCACTCTCAGGTAGAACACGTGCTCCCTGGGTGCTTATGAAGCACTCTGAGGTGAACAATACATGAAAGAAACAAAGTAAAAATTCTAAACCTCGGTCATCGGTGAAAAAACAGGGACTTATAAGGAATGCGATGGAGAATCAATGGCTTCATAAAGTTATTGTCTCTACCGACGGGTCAGGATTTGGAGAAATATTCGAACGATGCAAAATTTAGAAATCCTGACCCGGTTTATGGAGGGCTCTTTCCCCTTGGGGTAGTGCAGGTATGTGCCGCGTAACAGATACATCATTTCAGTGTTCAGCTGTTGTAAAAATTAAATTTGTAACACTAATATAAAAGCGCGTGTTTCCCGGGATGTGGTAGACGTGGGTATAGATAGGAGGGCTCGGACGTGCCAACGTATGGTTAACGAAGGTAGCCGAAGGAGATAGACCACTAGCGTATAGTTAACGCCATGTGCCACCGGATATGAAGGTATTTGGTATTCGCGAGTCGTAGTCGTTGATATACCTCGAGCGGTAAAGGTATATCTGTCGTGGGGTTAGCTGGTACGTTACTATACTATTCTATTATAATTACAATGGCTGATTCGATACAATGTTTAATGTTAGTCGATTCTTGGCTGGGCAAGAAACTTCCTTCTCGACTTTGCGCGGTGAGAGCGCGGAGGAGTCGTAGACAGTATTATTTGATTGACACTTACGAAATACGTACGCGACGTTAATATGCTCGAAGGGGACTGGAACCCGATCTTGCTCGTATCAATACTCTGACGGACAGAGTAACGTTATGTTCAAAACTGAATTAGAGACTGCCCCCGAGCGTCGAAAATCATGCCCTTTTATACACCGAAAAACTAAGATTTTTGGTGGTGGGGAACGTTAGATTTCCGTGGGAATGGAATGCGAGCTCATCCCTTGGCTTGGTGACTATCGGGGGGGTGCGTGCTAGACTAAACATTCGGCGCCGTACGTTTCGGGTAGAACGTGTACGTAACAACCTATTAGCATAAATGAAATATCTAAAATAAGATTTTATTCAAAACCAAAATAAGTCAAAATAACCAGTTACAGGAATTTAAGAAATCCTTGACAAACCTTTTCCATTTTGTCAAAATGGCCGCATAAAATAATGCTGCTTCGATCGCCATGTACCTCATACTTCCGGTATTCTTCAATACGAAGGGTTGCTTTTGTAAAATTCTTTTTTACAGAAGATATTAGTTTGTAAACTAATAGGAAATGGGCTCGTACTTCTTGAGCAATTCTATGCAAACCATGAACTAAACATGGTACATGTATCATGTTTCGGTAAAACAGTTTTAGTTTTTTTCCTGCTTGTATGGTGCTGCATCAGTTGTCAACAAACAAACTTTCTCATCGTTACCATTGGGTAGCAAAATGTGTGTCGCTATATTAATAAAACGGGATATAGCAGCATAATTTGTTTCTTCTAATTCCTCAGAACATAATAAATGAGGAATTGTTATTTCATCATCGCAGAGTTTTTCTATTACCAAATTTGCTACGTATTGTCGTATTTTATTGGTGGTCTCATTCACAGAAATCCATACATAGTGGTTTTTTATGTCTTCTCTGATTGCTTGTGCAATAGAATTATAACAATCATCTTGTGGCGACAACAAAGTAAGCGGATCGCGCTGCAACGCAATGCTTTGAGGGCGCTACGCGTCTCAATGGCCCGGGTGCGGCGCGTTTAACACTGCACTCGTGATCGCTAGATAGACGTATACAGGGTGTCCCGTAACTCCTCGAACACCCGGAAATGTGGGATTACTGGGGTGACTCTGAACAACTTTTTCCTTTACCAAAATGTTGGTTGAAGCTTCGTTTTTGAATTATTAACGAAAAACACTGGCCAACCCGGCGCCCAGGCACGGGAGAGCAGAGACTCATCCGCACGCGATCGTGAACAAATGCGTACGCGTGACTTCTCGGTTTTCGATCGCTGTCAAAAAAATTTGACGTTGTACCGCTATTTTTAAAAGGCTTAGAGAAATGGTTTTTTGCCGTCATTCCGATGTTTGTATAACAATACATACAGTGGAGGACAAAAGTATTCATACACTATATAAAATGGAATAACTTTTTTAAAATTGGGCCAAACGACTTGAGTTTTTTTGAGAAGTTAGAAAGATTGGTTTACTAGATGTCGTGTCAAAAATTTTTGAAAAAACTGCCATTAGTCGGAATCGCGAAGAAAATAGCGAAGGTCGTTTTTACAACTTTTATATCTGAGCTCGTAATGAAAATTTAAAAAATACGTTTTGTAGATCTATGTCAATTATACACACGCTGAAAATTTCATCGAAATCGGTTAATGTTTCTATGAGCTACAAACGGTTAAAGATGATGAAAATCGCACTATCACGACTTTCGGCGTAAAACTGTAATAAATTTGCAGATTCTTACATCTTTCGATGCCTGTCGCTTGTTTCTCCATCCGCCGATTTCGATGAAATTT